CCAGGTCAGATAGAACGACCCGAAAAACGCCGTAAATGACTCGAAGATGGTGAAAAATGGCTTTCGTTTTTATCTGAAAAAATGTTTTATGGTACTTTCACGCACAGTAGGTACAATTATTGTATATATTTGCGCCCTTTTACATACATCTACTGTGGATATAGATTATGTGAATAAATACATGCAGGAATGCTATTTATGTAATGAAATGCTTCATATAATAAATGAATGTATAAGCAGGACACTGCCTAGGGTGAAATTCGAGTATTTAAAATGACCCGTATACGACAAGAAAACGGTGTCAATACGACTCATCGTTATCCGGCGGAAACGGCGTCGTTTTTAATAGTCGGTATGATCGGCTTGGGGTAGAATGCAGAACCAAAAGTCCTTGACATACCTGAGCACGTTCGTCTCATTAGTTAAGTGTAAGTAAAGGTGGGATCTATCTTGAGCAGACTATACTCATGTCAGTGGCGGATTTAGGAGAAGGTTGAAGAGCGATCGTCCTCTTCCAAAAGATGTTTCTCGGTTTTTCTTAGCAGAAAAGGCTTAAAATTGAGATGATATTAACTCTGATGAGCTTCAAAACACGTTTTATGATCATGATTGCTTCCCATCATAATAGTCCTAGATCCGCCTCTGAGTCATTTGTAACTTGTCACGCAAAATGCCATGTACGGTACCAGATGAAATATTTAGAGTGTCCGTTATTTGCTCACTGGTGATTCGATGATTTTCGATGACTAGACTTTCAACAGTTCTAACAATTGTTTCGTTCGTTGTAGTAATTAGTCGGTCTACACAAGATCTTCACTGATGTTTAGTTGTACATCTTTGAAGTAGCAGGTCGGTTCAAAAACCTTGACACGTAATAGAGCCTTGTTACCATACGCTCATAAATTTTGGATGTTGACTAACCTTCCAAAACAAGAAACTTTGTTACTGAACGATGTTCAAGTTTTTGATTGTACATCAGCCTTTCTAAGTAGATCTGGAAATTTTTTATTAGAGTACATATACACATTTAATCAGTCAATTTGTGCTTTTTTGTTGTTTTTAAATAAAACTAGTCTCGGAACTTTTTGAACGACCTTCGTAAAACAGTGTGTATATCAGAAACAAAATATGTTCTGTAGCTTTTGCTTGTTACATTTGTTAATGGAAACACTCATTGTATGCTTATCAAAATTATTATTATTGCAAATCATTGTTCATTCAACACTGATACCTAGCGTCATCTATGTATTTGATATCGTATAAAATTCCTTCTATCTTTAAAGAAAATCCTTTAAATAATGGTAATAATAGTAAGCAAATAATTTAAAAATATTTTTTCATATCGATTTTCAATAATTCTAACATTAGAAATCAGGCAAAATTGATCTCCAATGGATGAATTTTATTTGATTCAAGTTGTCGAAATGCATCCATATTATTTATTTATTTTTTTCATCATCATTCATTCTTTCGATAAATTTTATCAATTCAAATAAAATTGATTGACCACAAACTACTAACAGTCATGATGGTAATGCTTTAATAGTTATGCATTATTTCATAGGGCAAATTTATAATAGTATTAATCGAAACTGCTGGATTATTACCTGCAGAACAATCAATATGAATTAATGATGAAATTATAAATACTTTCAGAAAGAGTAACACTTGTTCATTGTTAGTTTTGTTTAATTGATGAAATTGAACTATCAATATTCTTCGTAGATTGTATGTATTAACTGAAAGAAAATGTGCATTCTTACTTTTTTGTTTTCTTCTAGTATGGGAAATCATAGATTAATCGTTTTAAAATATTTTGAGTCTTGTGTACTTTTTTTGTTATAGGTTAAATATGAACTTACAAACCGTTCATCATCATTTAATGACTCTGTTTCTCTTGTTACAAATTAAGAAAGAGCATTGTATCATTCTCTAATCACCACATATCCTTTCAATCAACCATTTTGAAAAAAGTAACATCATATACATATAATTCATAAAAATGATGAATTTAAAAAAAAAAAAACTTTTAATAATAAAATGGTTTTCTAATGATTACACATACTCGAAGAATTTTTTCTTAAACAAATGTTTTATTATCATTTTTTTCTAGATTATAAACATCTTGTTTTTTGTTTGATTTTAATAATCATGACTGGACGAAAAGAAAATAAAACAACAGTAGCTACGACAAGTCCAACTAAAACTGGCACAACCACTGGCCGAGTAATAAAAAAAGACAAAGCAAAAAATCTTATGCGTGATTTACGTATTCGTAAATTATGTTTAAATATTTGTGTTGGTGAATCTGGTGATCGTTTAACACGTGCATCAAAAGTTCTTGAACAATTAACTGGTCAAACACCTGTATTTTCAAAAGCACGTTATACAGTTCGATCATTTGGTATTCGTCGTAATGAAAAAATTGGTGTTTTCTGTACTGTACGTGGTGAAAAAGCTAAAGAAATATTAGAAAAAGGTCTTAAAGTTAAAGAATATGAATTACATAAAGGCAATTTTAGTGAAATGGGTAATTTTGGTTTTGGTATTCAAGAACATATCGATTTAGGCAAGTATGATTATGTTCTCTATAATTGTATAACAGCGAAAAACAACCTCGGCCAGTCTTCAGTAATGAATGCCATATGATAGATAAATCTACTATTTATTCTATTGTTTTTGATATTATTAAGTCAAATTTACAAATGGCTTTTTGAAAATAGTCTAAGTTTTGACTGCAAAAACGTATATTAAATTTTAAAAGAAAAACTTTAGTTTTAATTGAAAATAGTCCTTTCCGAACTGAATTATAGTTTTGTATTTATTTACACTTGAGACTTTAAATCTAGAATGCAGTCTGAAATGGTATGAATCTGCTAGGTTCACATCAAATCTCTAGTATTGATGAAAATATGCGACGAGTGAAAACGAAAACTATAAAAAGATCTAATAGTACATCTAACTTATTTGTCATGAACATTAATGTATACTTCTTCTATAGTGAAATTTGTGCACGGACATATTTCGAAGACTTAAATTCGACTCTAAAATAGATTGAACACATTGTCTCATTAGATTCCAATAAAAAAAAACATATTTTGATAATATTTTATAGGTATTAAATATGATCCATCAATTGGTATCTATGGTATGGACTTTTATGTTGTACTTGGTCGAGCTGGTTATGATATTGGTAAACGTAAACATAAAAAAGCACGTATAGGTGCATCACACAGAATATCCAAAGATGAAGCTATTAAATGGTTTCAACAAACATATGATGGTGTTATTTTACCTGGTATAAAGATTTAAAACAAAAATATTTTATATTTATTCTAATTTTTTTTAAAATTTAGGTGGTAAACCGAAGAAATCAGGTGGTCATCACAAACGTGGCAAGAAGAAATAAAAAAAAGCACTGTTTTTTTTTGCTTATTGTTTATCGATTTGAGACAACACAAAGAAAAAAGCTAATATGTCGATAAAAAAAATAAAAAATAACAGAACATCTTAAATAACAAGAAGAAAACAAAAATATTCCGAATTTTTTTAGATATGATCTTGCAGTATTGATCTGTATAATGAGTGGATTTCGAAACCAAAGATGGGATCCATGGTTGATCATTAGTCAGATTATTGCTGTTCAAACATTATATTATCTCGGATTGGGTTTTTTAATATTTTTCATCACATTTGCGATTAATCAAGTACCAACACTTGATTATATTTTCTCGTATGATGTAAGATAAAAAAAAAGAAGAAAAACAACAAAAATTTTTTCTAATCTTCATTTAATTTCCTTAAGACATTACAACTATCTAGTTGGAATGGACGATTCTTTTGTACTATATTTTTACTTAATGCATTAACAGGGTAACAAAACAAAAACAATAGAATATTAAACTATGATTTATGGTTGTTATTTTTCTTTTTATATTTTAGAGCTCTTGCTATTTTTTATTTAGTTGGCAGATATAAACAATGTTTGGATTTTTCTATAACAATTCATTTTTATCATTTTATTGCTTGTTGCATTTATAACTATCATTATCCGAATATGTTTTCTTGGTATGTTATACAATTTTTATCGATTATTATAATGACAATACTTTCTGAACGTTTTTCAAAAAAATATGAACTTCAAAATATACCCCTTACATCACGTGCTGATCTTTAGAATTTTGTTTATGTACATCTATGTGTATTATCTTAATAACAAAAGAATTGTTTTCATTTAATTTATGTCTTTGTGTGTGCAAGTGTGTTTTGTTTTTTCTTTCTTAAAAAAATCTATTTGTATATTTCTTGTATGTCGAGTGATTTGTATGATTGAAAACAACATTTATATTAGAACTTGACAGATTACTGTCGAATAACGAAAGCTGAAAATAGTCATACAAAAATTCTTTTGTTTTGTTTTTATTCGTTTGAGTATCTTGAAATAAAAAAACAAAAGCCTAGTTCGCTTGTGAATAAGTCTGTATATTAACTGTTTTTCATTTGAAGTTTTTCATTTCTGATGTTTTAAGATCTGTGCGAAACAAAAAAATTCGAGTTTCAATCTGATCATAGACATTCTTCTAAGAACGAAATTCCATTATACAAAAAATTATTATTTATATCATATTAAGTTTTATGATAAAGAAAAAAAAACATAACTATTTTTTATTTCATGGATTTAGAATAAAAGTTGTTTCTTAAAAATAAGAATTCAGTCAACTAGTAAAACAATCCTTTTTGAGAAGAAAAATATTCGGGATTGAATCATATATAAGTTAAAAAAAACTGTTGATATAATTATCCAAATAGAATTCATAAATTTGATTACAAATTGGTAAGCCCGTGTGGCTCAGTGGCTAGAGCACTGGTCTAGTAAACCAGGGGTCGACAGTTCAATTCTGTCCTCGGGCATAGAAAATTTAATTTTTTTTTTACAATACGTAACAGCTGTCGTTGTTAATGATCTCGACTGCTTGAGATTTTATAAAAATAAAACATACTGCTTGACTAATTGATATAACAGAAGTATTAACCTTAAACGAAGATCAAGACGTATTTTTCGTCTATGAGATATTGTTTAATTATTTAAATATTAATGTTGATATATTGTAACAGATGATGTAGGAAACAAAAATATGATTCGTGCAAGAAAGAACAAATAAGTTGCTATTGAAAACATTTAAATATTTTCTGCGCCATTTGTTCGTTCCTGATGTTACATTAGGGTTACACAGCAACAGTTTTTCAACATAACCAATTTATTCTTCGGGTTAATTTCTATTTAAAGAACAAGTTTAATATTTGATTATTAATTATGATAAATATTATTATAAATTTGGAATAGTTTTAGATAATGTCATCAGTATTATTACGTGACTTTTTATATCAATTATCTATTTGTTCAGAAAAAGCAGCATGTATTGCACGTCATATTCGTTTTATGCATGCTGATTTCAATAGTATGATTGAAGAAAAACAATGTAATACTGATTAAATCTTTGTTGTTTTTTCATTTTTATCTTAAGCTATTTATTTAGTGGATGAAAATCATCAACATCTTGATGCTGATTATAAAACTTTAGCGTAAATTAAATTCTTCTAAATTTATTTTTTTCATAAATGTTTTATTTTTCTCTTAAGTGATGTTATTATTCAAGAAGTCATTAAACGAGATTTACGAAGAATTGTAAATTGTTTTTTCTTTTATTGTTGATATTTAATAATAATAAATACTATTTGATCTAAATTAATTTAGTATCCAGCATTAACTAATCATATATATGGAGAAGAAGATGGTTCATTAAAATTAAATTCAAGTGATGAAAAAATTTTCATTGATGTTACCGGTACTCAAGAAGATATTCATAATCTTCTTAGTAAGAAAAAAATATACTTGTTTTTTCTAATTTTTGATTACGTTTTTTTTTTTCTCAATAGAAAAATTATTTAATAATAAATCTGCAGAATCAACTGAAACTTTAGCTGAAATAGTTTCATCGTCTTCCAATATAACACTTTCCAACCAATGTAAACAATCATTTGAAAAAATTCCACATGATATATTTATTGATTTATCAAATATTGGTATATGGATTGATCCAGTTGATGGAACACAACAGTATATAAATGGTACTGATGGATTTGTTGATTCGAATACTGGTATTATTCCAGATGGTCTTCCAGCAGCTTTAGTACTTATTGGATGTTTTGATCTTAAGGATGGTCGTGCTGTTCTTGGCGTGATTAATCGAGCTTTTAATGAAAAAATCGATGAATATAGGTAAGTAAGAGAATATAAATAATAGTTAATTATTATTATTTCATCTGTATTCAGATGGAAAGGTTTGATTTATTGGGGTACAGTATTATCAAATGCAAAATTTAATAATTTGGAAGATGTTTATAAACGACATGAGAATAATAATCAACGAGTATTATTACATGGAAGTGCTGATGTAAACACATTTGATAATATTTTAAATGATTGGACAAAAATGGAAGTATCAGCATGTGGTAAGAATATTTTCTGATTAGTTTTTTCAATATATTCTGAAATCTTCTTTTTTAGTTATAGACAAAAGTTTTTAAGAAAAGAAAAAAGTTAATAATATTTCGATCTCATAGATAATCTTTAATTATTGGTAAATCCTTCTGATTTGAGATAAAAATAGTTGTATCGTGTTTTAAACAGAAATTGTATTGGAAGTTTTCTTTGTGGAATAGTTTAAGTCATTCAGACTTCGATCGTTTCAACATTTAATTATATCCTACGGGATTTTACCAAACGCAATAGTTGGATAGCGATGTTATTTTCTGCAAGAATCGAACCGATTCTTATACAAGGAATCCGATATAGCTTTCATTCACTGTATGATAACAGACATAAGTTTAGAGTAGTTGTATTTTTGAGTTTTCTTCTCGATAGTAATAACTTGAAAGAATCTGATAAAACATTTAAATAGCTGAAAGAAGTCTTTATCAGGGTCAGTGGATCTAAACACTTCAATAAAACTGCTTGGGTGAGGATGTCTAGAAAACCACGATCCCAAAATCGGTTTTCTAGCATCCATTAGAAGCTTTGTGGAAATGATTTTGTTTGACAGAGCAAAATGAGATGTCTCGATTCTCTCTACGATGTTTCTTCATCGAACTGCATTCAATTTGTAGAAGGCTCCGAAGCGTCAAATATGATGAAGTCATTGAAATTTTTCATAAATACAAAAGAAAAATGCTTCTTGAGTCTTCTGTAAATTTAATACAGTTCGATAAAAGAAAGTCATGAAGAGAGCTGAGACATTTTATTTTGTTCTATCAGATAAAACCATTTCCAAAAATCTTCAAATAGATGCCAGAAGACTGATTTTGGGAATCTTGGTTTTTCCCATATCTTAATTCAAGCAACTTTATTGGAATTTTTATGTTCACCAATAAAGAATCCTTCCAGTTACACGAATGTTTTTTCAGATTCTTCTCAGCTATTATCATCGAGAAGAAAATTCAAAAATACAACTGCTCTAAACTTTTGTTTCGAAGTATATTCTGATAGGATATGACGAGAGAAGTTCTCCAGCTGTTCATTTGCTTTTGAGTCGAGACTATGTGCATAATGTAGATTCAAATGAGCTATAAATATCCTGATAAGAGTTCATATCCATAGCTTATTGCAACGGAGATACTGCACTTTTACAGTATTTTTAAAATAAATACCATCGTAACAGAAAAATTGATTTTCGACTTTTGACTTGAAACTTTGCATAGAGACAGACCTTAACGAGAGTAGTTTCAGATCTTTTGATTTATTTCTATCCTGAAATAAGAACATCAAATTTGCTGATTTATATAAGTGATGTAAAAGAAACACTATTACCATAGTTGTATCTTCGGATAGAAACAGCGACAAGACCTGAAACATTCTCATTGAGGCCTGTCTCTATAGATAGCTTCAGGTCGAAATTCGAAAATCAGTTTTTCTGGATCACGACATTTAAAAAATACTGTAAAAGTACAATATCTCTGTAGCAATAAAACTAAAGACATGAACTTTTTTAAGGTATTCATAGCTCATTTGGATCTTCATAATGCACATAGTTTCGCCTCAAAAGTGATTGAACAGTTGTAGGACTTTCCTCGTGAGTGTAACATTGTTCAATCTTATCTTCTAACAGTATCTGACATGAATAAATGTTTTTTTTTCGAATGTTACTCAATTGTAACGCAATTCGATTTCTAACCGAGTGACTAGTGCTTGTCTCTAATTTTTCAATTATCTAACTTTTTATTCAGTCAGAAATTAACTTTTCTAACAAATATACGTATGATCTGAAATAGGAAAAGATGAGTAATTAAAGTATAAAAGATAAAATTTGTATCATAATGAATTTCTATGACATTAATCTTGTTTTATTTTTAAGGTAATAAATTACTATCCATTGCATTGAAACAAGCAAATATATATTTAGTAACAAAATCTGCTGCCTATAATTGGGATTTATGTGCTGCTCATGCAATTATACAATCTATAAATGGTCAAATACTTGATCTACGTCAAGTTATTAATTATTATCAAGAAAATCGAACAAAACAAAATGTAAATTTATCTCAATTTGAAATTATTTATAATAATATAAAACCAAATAAATTTCAACCAAAAGATTATGCATGTAAACCATTTATTGCTTATCATAATCAACAAGATCTAATTGATATGCTCTCATTATTAATAGTCGATAATATTCTCATTGAGTAAAAAGCATGTTTTTTTTTTAATATTAATGCATTTAGTTTTATGTCTAATCTTATTTTAATATTAAATATCACTTTTATGTTCAGTAATATAGTCGAATATTTTAGATATTCTTGATTTACAAATATCATTATATGAAAATCAATTGAAAACTACAGCTAAAGATTGATATACTTGGTTAGATGAAACATTAAACAATATGAATTCATTTCATCATTTTTATATGCAACTTATAAAGATTCAAAAGTAGTGAATAACTATTTTTATATAATTAATTTTTTTTAAAATTTCTTGTTTTTATTTTAGTGTTTAACAATTTATTATACAAGACATATACTTAATGGTGCTAATTTACTATTGAATAGTAATAAATATTTTCCAAGCCGGTAATTAGAATTAATCGATTACGATAGAAACCATTGTGTATTCTTCTAGAAGAGAATCTAAGAAATTTTATCAGCATAAATAAAATATATAGAACATGCTATTTATTCTTAAGTAATATGTCATTAAACTAACGGATGGATCATAATAAATTGGATTAATTTGTAAATACAATTTTTCAATCATTGACTATTCATATAAAATATTCATGTATACAATTATCAAAAAACGAAAAATTTCAAGCTCTACAAAACTGTGTAGTTCACTTTTACGAAGAAATTTTTTTTTATTTTCGAAGCAACCAGAACACTGTATATCCTTACTGTGAAACTAAAAACAAATGAAAAAAAAAGTGTGACATCGTTACCGAGAAATTTACTAGATTTCTAAAAAAAAACGAATATAAATCGTCTATCTTTTAAAACTTAAAAACGACAGCTTCATGTAAACATTCAGAACACAATCAACTTTAACTTCCATGTTGGCGAAAACATGTCACACTGCAGTTTACCAGTTACGTAGTCTTTTTCAGAACGTAGTTCTGCATTTTTTTGATGTTCACATACGGGCTTTGCAACTGAGCTTAACTCAAAAAAAAACTTCACAGTTTAAAAAATTATCATGAAGTATATTTTCAACTTCCCAGTAAAGCTTGGATATATGAAAGTGGATCAGCTGAATAGAAGACAAAATTCTCTATCACAACCAACAATTTGTCGCAGTAGGAATATATAGAATATATAAATGTTTGTATTGTCGTGCAAAGGAAAAAATATTTTTTTTAAAAATGAAGTTCTTAGTTTTGTAAAGCTTGAAATTCTCTCTTTTTTGGTATATGAATTTAAATACGAGGGAAAACTGCATTTACATTTAATCCTATTTATTATGACCTACATGTTAATTCCCATTTATAAAGATTACGTGACAAAATATCGAAAGTCAAAATGCCGAAAAATTTCTAATCTGTACTAAAGCAAAAATATGAGAGTATCGATAGATTTGAATCTAGATGCGAGTGTATAGATGTGGCTGCAGAAGAGACTGTCGTTTTTCTCCTCTCACACCCTTTTATTATTCTTGCTCGAGCTCGTCAGGCCCAAAGTTTTCGGACCCGACCGAATTCAGGACTAGCTCGACGGGCTCTAATTCTTACACTCAACAACAATAAAAAAATCTATATTTCCTTCCATTTAACAGAGTGACCTGATAGAAAATACAGTATTGGACAATTTTCAAGTCTCATTCAATATCAAACATTGTCACTTTCGATGTTTTGAAACTTTACCTTTATAAACTTTTGACTCATATGTACAGTACATCTTAACGTTATTTTAAACAATGAATATAATCTTACTTCAAAAACACCAGTTCATAGGTGTATAATTTTATATTCTTTTATGTAATGTTGTTGTCAAATAAAATAGTATTTCAAACTTTTTTTTCTTAATATCGTCTCCATATGTTTAGAAACAATTCTCTTTTTTTTCAGAACTTCTTCAAATGTTATTCTTTCGCGTCATTTGAAGACAATGTTTCCTTTTTATTACCGTAGAGATCAGAATGAACGAGATTCTATCAAATACTAAATTCATCACTTGTAGTTTTACATCTATCTTTTTAAAAGAAAAAATTTTTGGACGAAATACTTAAATTCAATTTTCTTTCATATACAAACCTTCAATCAAATATATCTCAATAGCCAAATGCGATAGTGTATATCGCCGAATTTATCGTATTTATTATCATCGTTGTACTCTCTATGATAAATGTGAAGAACGTACACATGTCTGTGATTATGTTTTATCGTATTTGCTTAACGTTATAATCTCATTTCAAAAAACAAAAAGATAATTTAATCATTTTTATAATAAACAATTTTAATCATGATGTTACAACTATTATAAAACAATAGACATTTTTAACCAAAACCAATTCATCTCAATCAAAAAAACAAACTTCGTAGTAGTCTACAATCATCATTATCAATTGAAGGTCATACTTAATACTCATTCTCAAACAGCATGCCATTTTAATTCTCTATATTGATGATATGCATTTTTTTTATTTCCATATTTTTTATAAAACTTATTTTATAAGACTCTATAGTAATAGTATTTGCTCAAGAACAAAAAAAAATAAAAACGATAAAGCACTAAACCGATTGATATATACTTGTAATATACAGGAAAAAAAAACGAATGAGAGAGAAAAAAATTGGCCAGCATTAGTGTGCAAATATAAAAGACAAAAAAGAAAAAGTTAACCAGCTGTTCGCAATATTTGAAAATAATCTCACACTTATTGTGATAAACATTTTTCTAATGCATGTGATTCTAACGTGGCTTTATCAAGTAAATTTTCATTAATATATTTTTATAACATTACATTCATTAAATCAAAAATTATTTCAAACTTTAAATAATGATGAATTAATATTATCACTATGAATACTATTAGAATTTATTTGATCAGGTACGAAAACATATTGATACTTATTGAGTCGAATTATTTGTTAAACGACAAAATATTCAATGCATAACACGAATATTTTCGCCGAAAATTTCAATCCACTTCTGAACGATCTTTTTTTGTATTTATCAGCAGGTATCGAATTGAGTTTGTTAGTTATTGTCTTCGTCAAATTTGCTTCATTCGGATAGGTATTAAGTCTATATTTCAGATAGCTGAACAATTAGAAGTCTGAAGGAGTAAGGTTAGATGAATATGAGCCATAGCTTTAATTTTTTTCTTCTTGAAAATAATTGATCATAACATATTTCACATAGGGCCTTGCATTGTCATGATGAAGTTTTATATCATTTGTTCCTGATGACGGTTTGTTTTTAATGACTTTTTGAACAATCCGTTTAAACACTTTTTACAATAATAGATACCATCAATGGATACTCCATAAGGCATTTGATGAATATGCAACAGTTCGATAGTCCTAAAGAAAATGATAAATATTGTTTTCTTTTCATAGAGTTACCATCTGATGACAGTCGGAGAACTTTCTTCTTCTGCTACCCATGCTTTTGATCGTTATTTTGAACTATCATCTTCCGATGGTAGTTCCAAGCTTCATCATCAGTAATAATATCACATAGTCGCTATGAATCACTTCCGAACTTTTCTAAATTCTCGGTATAAATGTTCACGGGTCGTTGTCAGTTTATGACGTACCCATCTTGATGATACCTATCTTAGTTGTAGGTTAGGATGGCATACACACTGTCGTGAGATGTATCCAAGATGTCGGATAGTAAAGTATTTTATTTTTCATATTTTTTCCTTTCTTATCCAAAAAAAAGACATTTTTTTAATTTATTATTTTACACCTAATTCAATTGGATTTGTTGTTTTATTTGTATAGGATGCAACACAAAAAAATCCAAATCTAGAATTAATAGCTTGTAAACGATCTTCTTCATCAAATGCATCCAAGTACTAAAAAAGAATAAAATTCAAAATTTTTGTTTTTTGCTATAGTTCGTTTTAATTTACAAACATGTATTCATCTAACCATTACCAAAACTAACGATTTCATTTCTTTCTGGAAAATATATTATTAATGTTTATTCAGGATTACATGGCTATGTTGAACAAATTGATTAATCAGTCGATAATGGTACATCAACTAAATGAAGATATTTAACAATTGTTGAACTATCTGATTGTTGTAATTCATTAGATACAAGTGAATTCATATATGTTATAATTAGAGGTATGCAGGACCAAGTTTTTTTTTGGTTTTGGTCTCAGTGATTTTAGTTTTTTGGGTCTTAGTAAACTTTCAAGTTTTGGTCTTGCACATCTCTAATCATAATACATATTAAAACATCAACATATAGTGAATCAGTTATTTCAATAGCAACTTTTGAATATGATTCTATCATATATAGGAAAACAAAAAGTGTACGATCATGTATACAATCAGAAATATGTTTTTCAAGAATTTCTATTATTTCATCTGTATCCATCCAATTTCCTAATGTTGTTTGTTAAAGATTTTTGGGTAAATTTGAATCTATAACAGTAGGAAAACTACTATCCGTTCCAAAATACAATATCATCCGTTGCTTTTTTTGAATAACTTTTGATAGGAACAAGATAGAGAACTGCAGTTTTCATCATTCGAAAGAGAAAACTGTGGCGCATATATATATGCTGAAATATGATTTATTAGCAATGGAATAATCAGATTCATTTTTAGTAGACATTTTAAAAACGATATTCTGGATTTATTTCTCAGTTGACCTCGGTTGGTTGTTAATTTGATCGTTCTATAGAAAAAATTGTTCTCTTTCAATCTACGCAAGGCTAATATTCTTAGCTTGTTCTATTCAAGAGTTATTTGGCTTTTTCCGAGACCACCGATTTCAACCAGTTGACTTGGAATCATTCGGAAAAGCATCTATACATGTATAATTCACTATACTAAGTCGAATATTAATATTGGTTTTTAGGTTCCAACTGATTTGACACTGTTACCTCCATATTTCTGAAATATCGATTCTTTGCACTAGATAGAGGCAGATTATGACACTTCGGAAGTATTGAGATAACAATGTCAAACCAGTTGAAAACTAAAAACCAATATCATCATTCGCCTCAGCACGATGAATTATCCTTACATAGATGCTTTTTCGAGTGATCCTAAGTCGGTTAGCTGAAATCAGAGGTCTCAGAGAAAGCCAAATATCTCTTGAACGAAACAAGCTTGAAATGTCAGTCTTGTGTAGATTGAAAGAGAATATTTTTTCGGATAGAACGGTCGTATCAGCAATCAAATTCAATTTGAGAAATGAATCTAGAATATCATCTATAAGATGTCCACTAAGAATGAATTTAATTGGTCCATTGCTAATCAATCATGCTTCAACACGTATCTATGTATCGGATAATAATAAAAAGTCGAAAATCAAAACAAACACACTGAAAAAGTATGATTGACTATCTATTATTCAACTCGATAATAACCAATCATATTGATTCGGCTTGTTTTGCTTTTCGTTTTCGTTTTTGCCCTTTCATAATCATCCATATGCGTCATTGTTTTCTCTTTCGAATAGCGAAAACCGTACTCTTCTATCTCTTTCCGATCACAAGTTATTCAAAAAGCGACTCATGGTCTATTGGACACAAACTACATCACGAGGATCAACGATAACAATATATGTAAGATATGAAATAAAATTTCTTTGTTATATTTTAAATCGATATAAAAATCTTACCAATAATTGTATTTTCTTAGACTTCAAACAATGAGATAAGTAATTTTTTTTCTTATACATATTAATGAGTTTTCAATGGTAAAAATCTATCAAGTGAATTATTTGCATGAGCAAAAAAATTCATGTTAAGAAATTATCTATGAAAATACACTATATAAAAGATAATATTAATATTTTATTTTTTCTTTATTTTAGATTATTTGTAGATTTTCGAATTTTTTCTCTTTCATAGGTTTTTAAATCTTAAGAATTTAATTATGCCACCACCACCATCAGCAGTACTTAAGAAAAAAACGACGTCGAAAAATCCACCATTTCTTAGTCAAGAATTTCTTATTCAAAATCATGGTAAGTATCAACGAGGGGGAAAGACATACTTCTGTACTTCTTTTATACTTCTACATATGTGTGCGTGCTCCTATATAGTTTTATATATTTCTTTTGCTCTAGAGATAATAATTGAATATTGATCAATTTCAGTTCAGAAGCTTAGATCAAATGAGCTAATAAACTTTTGAAAGAAAGTGATCTGGATGATCAGTTTTTTTTATAGAACTTGATCTTTGGAAACAGTTTTTGAAACTGAACTGTTTGAAAAAATAAAAATTTTTCGAACAGCTCGTTTTCACGAACTATTTTCAGACATCAGCTTTCTTCACAAGACAACTACCCGAATTGATGCGCACCATTTGAACTCATATTGAATCCATGGTGAGATCTTGGTAAGACTAAAATAAATCCTGAAAGGATTCATGTCCATGGACTTCTGGAAGCAAGTTATGATCGTTTTACTTAATTTTTGATCCAGCTTTAGGTATTTATCGAAAAATCAAATAATAGAATTTCTATCTGAAATTTCGCCTATAAACAGATCGAATGAATAGTAGAATATGCTGAATGTTTTCGCTGAAAAGAATGTTTCTTTGTCGAGATATTGAATTTCCAAAAAAATGATCGTTTGTGTCACAAAAATCGAATTTACTTGAAAACTCAATATCTCGACAAAAGAATATTCTTTTCAGCGGAAACTTTCAGCATATTCTACTAGTCATTCAACTTGTTTATATGCGAAATTTCAGATCGAAAATTCAGTAAAACAGTCATAACTCAGCTTCAAAGGTCTATGAGCACGAACTCTTTTAGAATTTTTCCAGTCTTATCAAAATCTCCTTGTGAACTTAATATGAGCTCAAATAGCAGATATCATTCCGAGTAGTTCTCTCATTAGAGAAACCATATAGACAGTTCAGTTCCTATCAGAGAACAGAATCATTATCGAATTGTCACTCCATCTGATAATAAAAGTCATATAATCAATCTTTATTTAAAACTTGTATCGTTTTCATGAATATGTTGTTACTCCTCAATACTTCAAAAGTGCAAAATTATATCTATTTCTTCATTAATAAATATTCCTGAAGAAGAAATATTGAATTTTAAGTAAAATTATTCTATATTATTAAGGTGACATTGCATCTTCTATTATAATGATTCTAACTCTTGGTGCTGTATTTCATGTTACATCACCTTATTTTACGGTATTTTTTGGTCCTCGCCATAATGCTACAAATTTTATATCATATAGTACAGTACCAGCTACACTTTTTAATTATGGTTATAAAGATTTAGCTATGCTTTTTGCTTATACTCTTGTATGTATAACAGTTCATGCTATTTGGCAAGAATATGTATTAGATAAATTAAATAAAAAATTACATTTATCAAAATCTAAAAATGCAAAATTTTTTGAATCTGGTCAACTTATTTTATTCTATGTTATAAGTGTTCTATGGGCATTAAAATTATTTCAGGATGAATCTTATTTTCAATCGGGTTTAGAATATCTTTGGCGTGATTATCCTTATATAGGTATGACAATATGGACACAACTTTTTTTTATTATACAAATTTCTTATTGGTTACATAATTATCCTGAATTATATATACAAAAAGTTCGAAAAGAAGATATACCATCTCGTATTTTTTATACAAGTTTACATTTAATAACAATTCTTTATGGTTATTTAACACGTTTTTGGCGTATATCATTAATTCTATTAACAATACATTATTTTATTGAAATTTTTCATCATTTATCACGTTTAGCTTATTTTTATACTACAGCTAAAATACATTCAATAAAAGCTAAATCAATTTCTAAATATTTACTTAACATATGGTATTATATATTTATAGTTGGTCGTTTAATATCAATAGTTTTAATATGGTTAACATTTTGGTTTGGTTTAAAAAGTTCATCTGTTAATAAAATATCATATACATCAACATCTCTTACAGATTCAAATGATACATCAAATGAATCCATTATGGTTTCTAATTTTAATACACCAACTGTACGTTTATTTACACTTGTTACAATGGGTGCTTTACAATTTTGGCTGGTTTGGAATTTTATTCAAGTAAAAAAAGAAAAATAGAAGGAATAATAAAATTGAATAATTTTAGTATTCAAACATGTTCTAACAGATGATCGAAAAGTAATTTGAAAACATTAGGTTAGAATTAGAATTTTGTATTCTTTCCGAATATGGATTCAAAAATTTTTGTAGGACTTCTCGTTTAGAAGTTTTGAGACGAACTTGTAGAGATCCATAAATTAAGTTTGGACGAACTTCAGCATGCCAAAAAATCCAAAGTACGAACGAAAATTATTTCAAATAATAAAAGAGCAGACATTTCTCTATAAAGTGCTGTACTAATGATGAGTTTGCTGCAAGTCGTTTGTCAACAGTGAATATTTGGAGTAACGAACATTGTGTTAATTTCCTTGATTTTTATGGAATATAGACTTGTAATGCAAATTTTTTTGGTCTAAACTTAATGTTTGTGCATCTAACAGTGCAACTCATAACTATTAAACCAGAAGTCCTAGAGAAATTTTGAATCTATATTCGGAAACAATACAAAATTCTGATTCTAACCTAATGTTCCAAATTTCTGCAGGCTCCTTAAAGTGACTGAAAAGTTAATAAATATTTTGTCAAATTACTTTTCGATCATCCGTCATCAAGAATTTATAGATAAGAAGCAGACAAAACTTAATCCTAATTGAGTGGTCTATCTAGCGTAAGGATCGAGGGGATGGTACCTCTGAGAACATAAGGTTTGCCCTTCCGAAGGGAGAATCTGAATAAAACATTTCTAGCTGATCAATAAAAAAAGATCTATATATTTTAAAACAAGTACACCCATGGTTTGAACAGAAAATATAATAAGAGAAAATAAAGTAGGAAAACATTTAAATGTACTCGAATGAAAGGTCTAATAATGATCTGCATTTTATCATATTAGAACGATGGGTCTAAGAAATGGAAACTAATTCATGTAAGTCTTCTTAGCATTTGATAAAGTTATGAAGATAAGACAATCGATAACAGTGTTTATACTATGTTTTCGTTAGCAATAATCTTTTGATTTTGAATAATAGAAATTTGAAATCTAGAGTTTATGGACAGTTATCGATAGGTTAATATCGTTTTGGTACACTTCTTTTTTTAAAACGAAGAATGTAGATCATGTTTTTCTAATTATTATTGTTTATAATCGAATACTTTTAAATATCATTCTTGTTTAGTTTCACATGAGACGTCGACGTGAACAAGGTGGTGCACCATCAACAGCAACAACTTTAACAAAAGTTTCAAATAAACTTAAACAAAAACAACAAGATTTAAAAACTGATAAATCAGAAACTGATGAAACAGATGAACGTCCTGCTATAGTTGCCAATGGTATTGGTAATAAAAAAAGCAATTAAATTAACAAAAAAGAATAATAAGAAAAATTTTCATCCATACAACTATACTTCTTATATTGTCTTTCGAATTCTCTCAACTACTTGTTACACTGTTCCTTTCATTATTTCTCTTTTTTTTTTTTTTCGTTATCTCATTATTATTCTTATTGTTTTCTTTTAAAGTTATTATTTCCAATTGAAAAAGAAATATTGTTTTATGTTAACTTGTTTGTAGGATCTTGTTCTTTGGTGTAGAACTGTTAAAAGACCGTATAGATTCAATAAACAAAATAGCATTAAGGAATAGAAAAAAAAATACATAACCAAATTGTTGATTACAACGTCATGTCTTCACCCATTCGATCTTATTTTGCAATTGATAAAGGAATCTCATCAGGTGTCAAATCACTTTTCGATCGAGACGATGTTCATTTGATGAGTAATAGAAAAGTCTAGAATGGTTTGATTTTTCAGACCTTCGCGTTCTTGAGATATAGAAATTTTATTGAATTTTGTAATAAAAACTACGATCTCCCTATGAACTTTCTAGTGTTGACTTCAAACTTTGAATGAACAATGTTCTCAATGAAATTAGTTCATTGGGCAAGTTGTCACTTTTCTAATATCTCCTATTATGCGATATTCAATATTCAAAATTCTCTTATGTGTACAAGCAACAAAGAAAATACTAGTTGCACAATCAACTAATCTCATTAAGAATTTCAATATCTCAAGAACGAAGGCTCGAAAACCCAAATCATTCTAGACCTTTCTATTACTCATTAAATGAACGTTGTCTCGATTGAAAGCAATTTGACACCTGAAGAGATTCCCTCATGAGCTCTAATTAAAAATAACAATTAATGTGAAAATACAAGATTCAATTCGTGAATTTCAAAAAATAGTTAAAAAGACTGTTTAAACCAGGAGAAAATGATTAGAATGATTCGTTTGCAAATGTGCTCAAATGAACAACTCAATTCTACTTCATTCGAAGTTCACAGTAAATCTTCATTGAAAAGACTGAAGCCCATTTATTAATAGCTTGGTTGAGTGTTTAATGCAAGAACCAGTTTATCGGTCAAAGATAAACAGCTCTGAAATATAATGTCGTTAGATATTTTCTTGCAGTATTTTTTTTTGACTTCAATGGTTATATCAATATTTTTTTTATCATAAAATTATATTTTTAATGCAAATATTTGAATAGGACATTTCGTTAATGCACCTATAAATTGTATGAGCACTTGATTAAATAGCACTACCAATACCAATATTTTATTCACTTATTTATTTAGAAAAAGTATTTTTGTATTTGTAACGTATTATTAAAAACGTATCTACAGTATTCAATATTCGTCGAATAGGTAGAAATCGGAAGATTATTTTTTTTTCTTGAATCTTAATACTCATAAGACTTTCTTGCATCCTTTTATCCAATGCAGAATATTTAGAAACTTACACTAAAATAGATGAAAATAAAAAATGATTTATTTTTATTTTATGCCAATGAGCAAAATAAAATAATAATATTTTAGGTCGACGAAAACGACGCCGTAAATAATATAAAACGATAAAAACTGACGTCTTTACCTCGCCGTTTTGTTCTACAATCTCGTAAAACGGTAAAATAGTAGGAGAAACGATAACTGATTATCAGTGAAAAAAACCAGCTGACGAATTACGACGAAATACGATGAAAATTAATACAGCAATACGCTGTTTTCAACGATGAGAATGATCGTCCTAGAATTCCTCTTTTTAAATCTTGTTTTTCAACTTTATTTTGTATTGTAATCATTAAACATGATAATTCCATCAATGTATTTTCGATGTTTGTTGGTTGTATAGAAAAGACTTTCTCGGTCATATCCATTAGTAAAATACAATAAATTATTGAAAAATCAAAAATAGATTATTTTATCATATCAATGATAGATAAACTATCTGACTGTTTCTTTCGTGCTGGTAATACAACAGAGATATCTATGATGATGACGGTATCAGCGATGTGGTAGTGACTTTTGTTTTGAAAGAATTTCTCGAAAACTATCACAGTAGTGGCAGGTCTCAAGCCGCAATGGACATCTTTGTAACACAACTACTTGATGATTTTGATCTAAGAGAAAGAGGTATTCATTCTTATAGAAAAGACAAAGCATATGTAATATAGATTGTTCAATTATAAAATTAAATGCTGCTCCTTTATTAGAGTAATTAGTAAAGATAATTGGTTTGTTTTGACCATTCATACTGTAAAAATGAATACAATTGGTAGAATGTTCATATCGATCTTTAACACTTGCAAGGCTACCAGAATATGGCCTAAAAACGAAAGCAATAAATCGTTTTTCTTTTTTATGTGATTCTATTAGATCCTTTAATATAGTCATTTATATTCCTTTTTATCCTTGAAAAACTGATAATATTTATTCACTATGAATAAGAAAACTATTTGAATTATTTGCTTCACTTGATAACTAATAATATGTAATAAACTGATTATGAATGAGGGATAATGAACTACAGAGTAATCGAAGTTAATCAAGTCTGTTTAATGATGAATACGATCTAGAGCGTAAAATATTGCAATATCAAAAAGATTTGAATAAATTTTTGAGATTATATCACCATCATGAATAATATATGTGTTATATTAATAAAAATGAATCAATATTCTAATCAGAACTATTAGTTTAATATACTTATTTTCTTTTTTTACGATGGAGATTTTTAAAAAAATGAGTAGAAATAATCAAATATATAAATCAATATATCAAATGACAGTGTCCAAACAGACAAGAACCTTTAATAACACGTTTAAACACGATTTTCAGAAATTTCTATCTCTCTTGGAATAGCTCGAGATAATAAATATCTCAATCCAGCATTCGATAGGCATTTCGATGCTCAGTTTGCGATCACACGAATGATTGTTTCCGAGGAGATCGAAATTTAATCAAAATAAGAAGAATTTTTGGGTTGCCAAAATCTATCGATTAAACGCGAAGGAGGAAATTCAAACATGGAAGGAAAAGCTTTGCTTGAATTTCAGCTGTTATGCAAAAAGAGATTATTTGATAATCAACTGATTTATGTGATAAAATATAAAATCAATACTGAAAATTTTTTTCAAAGGCTTAGAACATAAAAATTCATTATGACTGTGTCTTCTTCAAGCATGCTGACGGATTTCGGGTCTTAGCTTTCATCAGTTGATATTAAATATTGCTTAGAAAATTATGAAATTCAACTGAAATATATGCCGAACATAAATAATTCTGTTAGAATCATTGAATAAAAGTAAAAGACATCTCAAAACCGCTTTTTGAAGAAGTTTCATGTAATCAATATTAGATTCAGCAATCGAAACTGATATTGTGTTAACTTTGCCGCTATTGAAGCATTCAAAATTATTCTTCCGATGTGTCTTTTTTCTTCGAGTAGTCAAAACTTTGATAGATTTCAAGTGGTAGAAATGTGCTCAAGGAGTCAGTATGATTATTCTTTCCATAGATTATCTCTCGTCAAGTATTAGAAAGTTCGATGAGTGGCAAGGGGCCCAAAAATGAGTGCTCGGAATCTGATGCCTGTCGAAAAGCGCAAAACTTAAATAGAACAAACGAAAAAAAAAATCTATTTTTCAAATTTTCAACTGCTTGTTACGCCCATCGTATGCGTTGAAAACTTGTGAAATATCTAGAGTTGATAATTATTTGTCGAGAAAGAATAAAATATTCTTTTGCAGTTATTTTATTTAACATAAGTGCTTAAGTGATATTAAATATGTCACTTGGTTCATTCTATTATTAGTTCATCGTGTCATGTAATTTTATTAAGTGTTGGATTCTCGTTGCTATACCTGTTTTCTATTTGCATAGCATGAAACCTTGAAAAAAGTAATAAAGTTTATTTCTTTGAAGGCCATTGCCTACATCAATGATATCTGACAAAATCTGATCATAACTTTATATCGTCATGCATTTTCATTTTTTTAAATCCATTAATAATATGAAATATGATTCTTATTGACAGACGAAAAAAGTATTCGAAGTATCTTTTTTTCTTTGATTTTGTAACATATCAAACCTATACAACCAGTGGCAGATTTAGAGAGGAGGTACCAAGGGATCGATCTTTTCTTTCGACCTATTTTTCGATTCTTTTTCAGTAGAAAATGCCAAAAGATGAGCCAATACAATCTCTAATGTGACTTGAAAACACGTTTTGTGACTATAATCGTTCCCCTTTCTATTGAAGCACCTCCATTTACCAGAATCCTACATCCGCCATTGTATAGAACTCGGACTAATAACGTACAGATTCGTTTTGAATTCAGATAATTTATCGATTGTTAATAGAGACAATTGATCCATTCTAGTTTAATCGAATAATTTTAATTTACGAAAATAAATAGATGATTATTCATCAAACTTGAAATGATTCAGAACAATTTCGAAAGAATAAAGAAAACCAGAACTTACTTCGATTAGAAAAAAATTTCGAAATTCCAATATCTATAATATTTCAGCTTCCTTTTTTCGATCACATCTTCATGACGAAACAGTTACTAACGTTACTACATTACCATCTAACATGAATGTGTTGTGTGTCATTTTTATTTATTTTGGATTTATACCTCAATGAATAATATTTATTGTTGGCAAGCAAACATATAAAAAGAACTCAAAACATGCTGATGCATGGCTGAATGGCTTCGTCATCACCTTTTTTTTAAACTACAATAGAAAAGAAAACGAAAACAGTCATTGCGCCAGCTTGACTAAAAATAACAATTTGAAAAGAAAAAAAAAAGTCTCGTAGATGAATGTAGTCATATGAAAAGGGATTAATTGAAAAATATAAATATTCGGAGACACCCACGATACAACACGATACTAATAATATACAAGTAAATACTTTTAACCAATCAGATACTTTAAGCATCTTGATATTATTACATTCGTCTGTCAGGTAATAATATATATTGTTGATTTAAATATGAGTTTATTTCTTCGCACTTCAATATTACTACTATTACTACTTGAAATAATACTATCTCGACCAGCTATGCAAAGAATTATGGTTAATAATCACGTATGGGAAGTACCAAATGAACCTGGATGGGAAGAAGTTATTAGAGATGCGGCAACAATTCAAAAACAATTGCATGTATGTACAACAGCTGCTGAATGTCGTCAAGTTATTGACCAATTGCATGCTATCTTTAATTATTATCCGGTTTCTAGAAAGTATCTGGAGTCAAACCCGGATAGTGCATATGACATAATGGCATCAATATTCAAATGGGGCTAAACATACAAATGTAAATACGATCATTAGACAATCATTCTATATAAATAATTGAAATGCAGAATGTAAATTTTTTATTAAATACAATTTTGATAAATAAATATTCTTATCGTTTTTGAGATTTTGATCGTTGATATTTTTTTGATTTTGATTTTGAACGTTGTGATGCATTCGATTTAGGTTTTTTTGAAATAGATTTTGATTTAATTTTTTTCTTAGATGTTTGAATTGATTTTTCATTGATATGTTGTTTGTTGATTTTCTTGTTATCAGATGTTAATTGGTTAATATTCCATGAATATGGTGGATATGGATATCGTTCGACAATGAAATCATCTATAAAATCAGATCCATATGTTTTTTCATTAGAAATTCCTTGTTTTAAACATTGTTCGTAAGATTTTAATATATTTGATTTTATGGTTGATTTTTGTTGTTGTGTTCTAGTCTTTAATGACATAATAACATCAAACAATTAAAATCATATTAATTGAAGATAAAAATAAAAGAAGAAGGTCGAACGAATAAATTTCATATTTAAATTTTCCCGCAAATTCAAATTTTTATTATATTTTCATCAAGTTCTAAAGTTATTGACAAAAATAACGGAAGAATTTTTTTACTTCGATAATGAATTTTATGATATGTTGGATTAGTAGAATCGAGTTTCTCACTTATCTCAACAATTATAAAAAACAAATATATTAACTGATAAGACATTCATTTGCCCATCATTGACATTATAGTATCTGATTTATACATATTTATAAAAAATAGGATGAATAACACAAACTTAATTTTTGAAAAAAGTTAATAATCTCTTCATTGAAATATAGACTAGATAACGAAACAATGAATAGCCAAAAGCAATTTTTTATATATTATAAGAAAACAAAACAAATGCTCAATGCTGATTTTCTCTTATAACTTTCTTCAATGAGTTAAGTGTTATTTATGGTTACACTCTAGATGTTTTAGTTACAAAAACTAATGACGACATTTATTTATTTTTTAATCTTCTTGCACAATTTGTAGCCAAGTGAAACAAAAATATATGTAATAGTTTGCAAATCAGTCGTAGTTAAATAATATTTAAAAAAAGATTTTCTATGATACAATTGCAGGCGACCACTTCCTCGTTCAGGCGTATGCTCGCTTAGACAGATGGTCGTCGAACAGATTTTATTTTAAATTTTAAACGTATGCTGCACAATAATATTAATTCAAACAATAAACTTATTCCATTGAGTTGTCAGACCCTAAATTTTCGAACCCGGTCGAACCGTACTTTAATATTCTCAATGAAATTTTCTAATCAGAATTGGATAGTCGCCCCGAAAATGCGAAACACTTTTTTTCCAATTTTCTGTATTCGGTGACTAGCGCATTGTAAATATTTTTCAGAAGACTAGAACCCATCAGGTCCGAGACTGATTTGACAGGATCTAAGACTGATACATCTTCTGTATTTAGACATCATTGACATTATATCGAGTAGTCAACTAGCAAAGCAAAAAAAACCTCAGGCTCTCAACAAAGATCAGTTAAAGTATATCGGGTGTTTTTTTTGTCTCTGTAGATTCTCTTTTCAAATCTGTTTGTCTATTGTTGTTCAATGTTACTGTTTCTTATTGATTTTTTTAAATTTAATCTTGTAGAACAACTAAATCACATACTCGAATTGTTTTTTTTTGTTTTTTCCTTAAGAGTTTCTTCAGCAAGGATCTATCATAGGGTGGAAGTGTCCATCCTTAGATGTCAAACTTCCCGCGTTTTATCCAGTGTGATGGCTGAGGGAATGATGCCATCTGAGGATCGAATTAGTCTTCACGAAGTTGATGGTTATTGTATCATGTACTACCTGTCTATGCTCTCAAAAATAAATGTTCGCCTTTTCGGAATATCATATCGTACCTACGGAAAGGAAAATCTGGATAAAACATTGCTGATTTCCGTTTATAGTCACGTGAACGAAATTTTAATCGTGGTTGCATGTTGTCAAATTGGTTAATCCTAAAGAGAAATTGATAAAGATAATCATTCCATTTGATAAAGTTCTTCATGCTCTATATTGATTTTATTTTATAAATATATTATATCAATTTTTCATATTATTGGCAAGCATGATTACTTGAAAAATGAAAGTATGAACTTATAAATAAACGAAATTTTATTGTTTCGATTTTTAATCTTAATATTAATTGAAGAACATTTCAAAATTAAAAATTACAATTATACATTATACAAAAAAGTTGTTTCCTTTTTACTTGTTCAATATAATAAAAAAACAAAAAAATGTCATACAATAGTTATTTAATAAACAATTTAAAATAAGAATTTATTTATTTTATTTCAGCTGGTAAATGAACATTTTCTGCATATTGATTTGGAATGTTACCGGGAGGATCAAATATAACAACACCATACCACCAATTTCCATCATCAGATCGAGCTCGTCCAACACCAATTTCTTGTGATGCTCGCCAAACTAATTGTGTAAAATTTTCTGTATCTTTACGTCCATCATGACCAAACATATATCGTTTTCCTTCTTTCATCCATTTTCTAACCATTTTCTCTCCTATAAAAAAATCAAATTCAAATAATTTTCTATGATAAAAAAGAATAAGAAATATAAGACTTTGAACCTGTTAATTCAACTTGAAATGATGCTGCATAATTTTCTCCAAGTGTTTGTCGTCCTAAATTACGCCATTCAGGTGGACTATGTTCTAATTTACCACTACTAGCCATATGTTCTGCCCAACGTTGAGCAATTTCAGATAATTGATCATTAAGTTCTAATGGTTGAGCTTCATATCGACGACGAAAACCATTTATTGCTTGAAATGTTGCTTGTGCAAATGCTTCACTACTATCTAGTAAACCAATTTCATTTGCTAAAATAAATAAATATTTACGTTCTATTTCAAAACATAGAAAATAAATACTTGAGTCAGCTGAAGTAATACGTGGTGCATATGTTCCAATAACGCCTGTTCCAGTTGTACCAGTGCCAAATGAATTATCAAGTGTATTTATATCAGTAGGACTGAAAGGTCGTTCTGAACGTTTTGTAGTGTTGGGCGCCCGTGCATGTGGTTTTGCTTTAGTCTTTCTAAATTTTTTCATAAAGAATGCAGCAATACCTTATGTAATATATAAGACATTTTTTTTCTATTTTTTCAAAATTAATCTAATTCTTCTTACCAATACCAATACCAGTGAACAATAATCCCGTAATAGAATTTGTCACCCTAAGAATATTTAAAAATTAGAATGTAAATATTGTGTTCAATTTATCTTATACTTACCACATATACCAATAAGACTGAAGACATACACGCAGTTGAACAGCTGAAAGGCCCATTTCTTTTTTACCTTATAAAACGTCTATTGTTTGATGAAAATGCACACACACACACAAAAAATCGTATGTCTTCTTTTTAAATGAAGTGAAAAATATTTGTTTTTTGTGAAAGATAAAAAGTGTGAGTTAAAAAAGAAAGCGAAAAAAAGTCTTGTAACAATGTACAAAGTATGAATTTTTACTTAAGCATTTTGTTTCACCGCATCATTAGAAAAGAAAAGCATTACGTCAGTTTAGTTTAATGCCATTAGCATGTTTTGTTGTTTTGCAGGCGTTGCCGTATTTCTCTTTGTAATCAAATTCAAAAAAACAAGCAATTATAATGTTGGATGTTTGATCTATGAAGAAAAAAACAGAATAGTTTCTTTTAGGTTTTTCTTGTTGTCTTATTAAACCTTTAATGAATGAATTAAATTGGCAAAAATTGAAAAAAATCTAGTTGATGTTGTTATTTCTTTTGTAAAATAAGAAACAGTTTTATGAAATTGATCATTTGTTATTTCATAATATTGAATTATTTCATGTAATTTGTGTTGACAATCATGAAGAAATTTCTGTAATAATTTAATTATTTTATTTCTTTTTATATTCAGAAGGTTTTAACACATTCAACCCGATTCATTTTTATTACAGAATAGCTCTAACAGATTCATTTTTGTATGCATTCGTTATCCTTTTCATTCTGTGTTAGCTTGTTGTTTTCTCTTTTCTGATTGGTATATCATATGAACAGTTATATCTATGCATCACATACTGGTTTTTGCCAACATGACGTATTTGGCTTTCCCCAGTATGCTATCACATGTTCTGTATTAGACTTTTTCTAATAATATACTCGTTTACGTCATACTTGGTACTCTCCAACATGCTTATATATGTATGTATCGGTGCTTCTCTTCCTACCGTTATTCACTCTTACACTCACTAGTTCTTTTGCTAATTCTATTCTTCTCTTTCCTTTTTTTCTATTGTAAAACCCCCCTTTATGATGTTGAGATACATATATCTCGATTGTTTTGACGAGAAGCATCATGCTATGAAATAAAGGACTCAAAAAATATCGAAGATAGAGCAGATGACACATTATGTGTAACCTTCTGCCCAAGTAAAAAGGCAAAAGGAAGCAGTTTTCTATATAGTTTCTTCTTAAAATATAGTATGATCCACCGGTGGATCACATCGGACTGAATGTGTTACTAATTTTTACTTGAATTTGGATGTTTCCTTCGAATTTATTTATCCATAATTCAATTTGCTAAAATAAAAACGAAAATAATAATAATAATAATAATAATAATAAATTCTTTTCTTTTTTTTTTATTTTCTACTTCAAATTCTTGTTTCATTTGTTCGATTTCAGATTTAATTAAAGTTAAGTCAACTAAAAAAATTAAATGAAATTTAAAAAACAAAAATTTATGAATTAAAATAATTCAACTTTTGCTTGCAGATAAAATTGATTTATAATTTTCTTTAATATCAAATATTTCTGAATGACGATCATTACATATTTCTGAAACAATATTCATAATTGGTATATGTGTTTTTGATGTTTTTAAATCATATATCTAACAATGAAAAAAATAATATTTAATAAAACGAAAGATAAAATAGAAAATTCTTTTCAAACTTTTGATAAATCATCAAGTGTAAGAACTTGATGTATTATTGTTGGATTTAAATGATTAACTATAGAAAGTATGATCTAAATTGAAATATTTTGTACTAATAAAATGAAAAATGAACAAAGAATATATATAAGAACTGACTTCAAGTAATTTTTTAATATGATTTGATTGATATAAAAAACTACAAGCTTCATTAATGACATGCATTTGATCATTTAATAAATGATAATTATCAGCAAAGATTAATTTAAATTTTATTGTATTTAATCGTTCCATATACAATGGTATTTGAATAATCTATAATTTAAGATTTTATATCTTAGAATTCGTTACGTATTTTCACTAACCTCATACATAAGTCGATCTGCTGGAGATAATTGTTCTTTATCAATAGACAAATGACGAAAAGCATCGATCTATTTTTAATAATAAAAAATTTTAGATAGTTGAGTTCAAGTTTTTTGATAAAATATAGAAACGAGTTTAATAGATAAATTTTGAAGTTTGAATATAAATAGTGAAACTATCAAGATTGAAGTTACTTTATCTTCTTCTACGTCTCTAAATCTACTTGTGTGAATACATATTATGATTTACTTTATTATCTACACAATCAACTGATTGTTTAATTCATATAGAGAATATATTCGTTTATTATAAGTTTCAATCTGTATGATAATTCTTATCAAATAAGCTTTTTGTTTATGATTTCTAGAGTACTTTAGTAGCAAAGTATGGTTTTATTGAATTTTCAACTTAAAAGACTATTGCGCACTTAAGTTTTCTTTTAATCCTCCAGTCAGACAAAAATAGAACAAGCCGATGTTTTTATGCATAAGAAAGAACTTGTTTTTTTTCTATGAGAAAAAAAAATAAGTTGGTCATATTCAATATTTTCGAACTTGGTTTTTTGTTTTCGAGAAAAAAAACGATTGGTTTAGGGCGCTTAAAAGCATATTCTTTTTTTATATATAGCAGCCTTTTTTTTCCGTTTCTTGCCTGTTTAAGAAGTGACATAGAGAGTTAATGACGGGGTATGACGACGAACCTGTCTTTTTCGTGCTAAAAATAACAAAAAACGATAAAAATAAAAGCAAGTTAAATGTTGTAATAGAATGAAAACGAAATCAGTATAGAATCTGTTTTAATATCATCTTAATGTCAGTATAAAATGTGTCATTCAACATGAAACTGAACTTTTTAAAAAAAGTTTTCTGATTAATTTTAATTTTCTTGAATATAATAGCCAATTCAGTGATATATCTATTTTTCTTTAATAATTTTACCTCGGTATCATTAGGTATATATTGAATTAAATGTTGAATGAGTTCAACTGAAATCAATTCCAAATTAAAGGTTTTTATTGCTTCAGCTATTTCAATAGGACTACGTTTATTAAATGCCAATATAATACCTAGAAACAAAAGAAAATTTCATCATGGAATAAATTAATAATTATGTTTTTCGACTTAATTTTCTCTTTCAAAGTTTTTCGAGACAATCATTCATCTTAGACTTCTTTTGTTTTTTTGTCAAGATTGAACAAAATCTGTGCATCTTATCAATATTTAATCTCTACATGCATGTACGTAAAATATGTACACTACTGAGTCCATTGTATATACAGAAAAAAAAGGCACTGACATTGATGCGGACCTGACGTAATAAAAAAAGAGAAAAAAACACAGTCAAATATATGCATTTGATTAAATCGGAAGATAAATATTCGGCTAAGGAAAAATAGCAATTAATGTTTATTAATAAGTTGCCATCCATGTATCCTCGAAGTCTGATATCGAACCAAATTGAAATGTAAAACGTCCTGGAGTTGGATGTATTATTCCACTGCTGTAATAATAACGAATAGCACGCGCTAATTTCTCATAAGTCATAACTAAAATTAAAAAAAAAATGAAGAAATTTTCAATTAATCATAAATAAAACAAAAATAAATCTACCTGAATCGGAATTTCGACCTTTGACGCGTTGCCATAGTTCAGCAGCAGTATTTTTTTGATAAAATCTAAAAATGCCTTTGCTTCTATCAATATATGTAGCAATATGAGAGTAATTTTTATTGTTCAGTAATTGTCGAAGAAATTCATGCAATAATGGTCTACGTGATCTGCCACTGGTCTCATCCGTGACAAACCATTCACGTACATCTATATGTGGTAAATTTGATAGTATTCGATTTTGCTTTTTTTTTCGAGGTTTTTTCATGGGTGGTGATGCTGGTGATAGATCAAAATCAAATGTAGGTTGTTCTTGAATATTAGTCATGAAATCTGCTATTTCAACAGATCCGAAATTAAAAATTGAATCAGAATTTATAGGATCATAAAATATTTCTTTGTCCGAATTTTGATCACAATCAAGCATTGTAATTGCATATCCATCATCTTTGGCTGGATCGAATTTGGTTGATTCCATTGAACGACCGACCGGTAAAAATGACGTCGACTGTGACGAATCATTACAAAAACTCATCACAGGATCGTTTGATCCATTCTGCAATGATTGTGCATGCTGGTATATCCAAGCCACGAGATCATCGGTATTTTCAAAGTGCTTTTCTGTATAAGAGCCCGATTGCCCTAGATATTGATCAAGTTCGCTAGGTGAAGTAGGGCACGATAATAATGGATCCATATTAGAAAACAATATGAAGTTTTTAAATATTTAACTAAGAATGAAAGCAAGGATTGTGTAATATATAGGATTTTTTTTTTCGCATTCTGTGATTCTTTTTCTTTTTTTTTCTTTCCACGATAAAAAAAAATAAAGCATTTGAAGTGTCAGCATCATATCATTTTTCTTTTTTTCCAATCGACGAAAAATATAATGCATAAAAAATTGGTTATTTTTCGCGCTTGATTTGTTCATGACAAACAACATGAAACATATGAGCCTATGACACATTTATGTGTTTTTGAATGTTTTTTCCTTATCAAAACTACATATCGATAAAGTTTTTTATTTTTTCAAAAAGATTATGGTCGTTGCATTAGTTTTCGGCGAAATGAAATGTTTCGGGCCTGCCCCTTCTTGACGGCAAAGGTTGTTTTTTTTACTCTCCGACCATTAAATACCACTATTTACGTATCTTTTAAGTTTCTTTTTTTTCTTTTTACTTTTGATTTCATGAGTCATTGGCAAAAGGTGAAAGAGATTTCGAAAGAGAAGCTTAGTATTATGTGAAAATCATATTTTTGCTTGAAATCAAGCTTTTGTATGCCATTGACGAAGTATAAAGTACGTTAATGTTTGTCTCAAAAACATTTTCTTTTCTATTGAATGCTGCTTGTCGTTTTCTCGATAGAAAAAGAAATACATGATGAGTCATTTTTTCATTAAAATATACGTCATTGATTATTGTCGAAATAAGAAAGAATATTGTTAATTAAGTTGGAAGAAAAAATATACACACCAAGGTTATATGATTTACGATTGTCGAGAATCGTTTTGATTTTTGATTCATTCATTTTATTTGAATTTTCTTAAGAAAAAGAAAAAAAAGATTTTCTTTTAAAAAAAATTTTCTCTCATAATAATTTACTTTCATTTATTAGTTTATTCAATTGATTAACATAACCCGCGACATCATAATTTTCTACCTATAAATAAATTGATTGTATCTATGAATAAAACGTATAAAAAACATGTCATGACTCTTTTCTGAAATTTGTTTCAATGACTCAAAATCAATAACAGTTTTTTTTTTTGCAAAAAACAAAGATGATATCTATATCTTGAGTAAATATTTGAAGTGATTACCTAAAAACGAGGCTGACACAAAAAAATAAGTCTTACTTTTGACCATAAAGTCTCTTGATTGGGTGAGATAAGTGCTGTTTTCAATGACTTTGATTGTGATTTAATTGCTAAATCGAATGAATTTGGTAATGGTGGTGCTTTAGGGATAAGAACTTTTGTGTCGGTTTTAACTTCAATCAATGATGGTGATTGAGTACTGGATTCAGATTTAATAATTGGTATTGATATTTTAGAATTTTCATTTTTTGTAATTTCTATTGATGGATGTCTTGTGGTAGTTTTTGATGAAAATGAAGTAGGATTGTATGATAAAGAAAGTTGATCAATATCGGTGACACGATTTGATTCTTTTCTTTGATATATTTTTTCAAATTTATGAACTTTATTTGTTGCTGAACGAAATAAATGATTCATAATTGATTTATCATTTGATAAACGAATAATAGAATCTGAGTCACAATCGAGAAAATAAAGTTGAAATTGAACATCTGATTCATCCGATGATGGTAACATAATAATCTAAAAATTTTCATTAATTCTCGTAAAAGATAATTAACATGAATTTCTTGTTCAAAATTCAAAAGCTTCGATTACTGAAAAAAAAAACTTAAGTTATGTATCGAAATTTATTTTTATTGTAACGAAAACTTGTCGAGTTGGAGTAGGTACAGGCTCTAGACCAAATCAACGAGTCATACTCTTAAAGTAACAATTTATTATGACTTGATTATTATAATATCATCGTCAAGATTGTCTAAGAGATGTATAGGATGTATCACGTACAGAATACAAATAGTTGTTAAAAAGTATCGTGCATCATCTTCGGAACGACTTGAAGTTTCACGAAGGAACGTTTCTATGTGTCAAATCACTTTTGAGTCGGAACTATGTGCATTATATAGATTCTGACGAGCTATGAATAACCTCAAAAGAGTTCGAGCTAATAGCTTACTGCTGTCGAGATAATGTATTTTTTATCAGAATGTCGTGGTCCCTCTCAGGAATACCAGAAAACCTGAGTTTCGAATTTCGACTTGAAATTTTGGGTAGAGACAGGCCTTAATGACAATAGTTTATTGTAAAAGTTTCAGATTTTCACCTGTGTCTACTCTGATATAAGAACATTGGAATTTGCCCGTTGTATATGAACGGTGTGGGAAAACATACTTTTATCATAGCTGTGTTTTAGGATAGAAGCAATCAAAAGATCTGAAACTTTTACAATAAAATATTCTTATTAAGGTCTGTCTCTATGCAAAATTTCAAGTCGAAATTTGAAACTTAGTTTTACTGGTGTTTATGAGAAGACTCTGGCATTCTGCTAAAAACACAGTATCTCGGCAATAATAAGCTACCAGCCCGAACTCTTTTCAGACTATTCATAGTTCATTAGAACCTATATGAAGTACACAGTCTCGACACAAGAGCGATTTGACACTTAGAAAAACGTTCCTTAGTGAGACTAAAACATTTCGTCAAAATTAGCGATACGGTTCGGATCCAGGTTCAGGCATGAAACACGTTCAATAAATCATGTTCAAACATTTTGAAGCCTATTTAAGATATGCAATATCATAATGCAATGTTTATAACAAACTTGTAGAAATGGTGTGTAAAACTTTAATTAATACTAAATCATAAGTCATGCAAAGCCTTTCTACTGGATAGTGCAAAAGTTCCACATTAGTTTTATTTTCATTATAGCATGACAGCAACTCGTCGTGAAGATTCGATAGTTGCCTTGTTAGAAAGAGCTGAGTCTCTACCAGAAAGCTGTATAAAAATATTTCGTTTGAAATACTGATCGACGGCTGAAAAGTTTTAAGAACATGTTTGACTGGAAAAGTGCCTTTGATCGATTTGTCTTGCATTCTACTTTCAAAATTTTAGGCATATTATATATAAGTATAACTAGGGATGTACTGAGACCGAGAGGCTCAGCCTCGGTACATGCCTAAGTATAACTTATACGACATGGGCTTTCTAGTGATATCAAAATATTCAAGTTACAAAACCAGAGGTTTCATAAGAAGCAGGTTTATTAAAAATTTGATTTTCTTTCCACAACGTTCAATGAAGTTTTTCTCATACTGTCTAATATTCTGTTTTATATGTGTTTTTCAAGAGAGCTGAATAAACTTTAATTGAACATAAAATATAGGATTTGACTAACTTCAATCTTATTTTTCGAAATTATTTATTAGTAGTGAACGTTTTTCGCTAGCAAAAACCGTTAGAAAAATGTTGATTTCGAACTCAACTGATAGCTTGAAAATTTCATTTTTATCCGTTCATAATATCTTATCGTAGTGCTACAAAATTTGATAACAGACAGAAAATAAGAGCAACTTTCTTCGTTGACGGAGCTTTTCTTCTAAATTCCAGATATGCGCAGAGAACTCTTCAACCTGTGGTAATTATTTTGAACAAAATATTTTTATGCAGCTTTGTAGTAGAGGTTTTGCTCTTTCTAACAAGAAAACTATCGAATCTCCACAACGAGTTGTTGTCACACTATAATCAATCAATATTCAAATAGAATATGATATGTTGGTTTTTATACGACAAAAATATTCAATTTTCATTTATCTGTATACAATTGAAGATTTTCATACTAATACTTAACAATAACAGTAAACAAAAGATTGATCTGATACTTACAGACGAACTATACAAACCTTCTTCATAATCTGCTAAATGTTAGTCAATAACTACATCACAATGAAAGATATATAAAAATAACATAATCACTCAATCTTAATAGTTATTATTCATGTCAAATATTCGAAAGTTCAAATTTCGTTTAATATTCTATATAGAAGCAATACGATAATAAATATTGTCTTCTATTTCTATATCTATCATGGATGATTAATATTTCCTTAATGTATGTAATTTACTTATCAATAATAAATAGTATTTTATATTTCGATAAAGGTCTAATAATTCGTTTGATAAGAAAATATCTTCGACCTTTATACTTTTCAAAAAGACATTCAACATATTTTTTTTTTTGTTGTTTTCATTTTACAATCTCACATGATGGCAAAATTTACTATTTTAATAAATATAATCATATCATTATTAATATTCTTAATTCATTTATCTTCTGTAATGAGTATTAATGATCAATGTGATGATAAAATATTTATTTTAATTTCAAAAAAAAATATTTTTCTATTCAATTTTGATTCTCAACATGATTATTCACCAAGTATTATATATGAAACAAAATTAAATACAACTATTGAAAATGGTTCATTTAATAAACGAATAAATACAATTATTTTATTAATTAATCAATTAAATGAAACATATTCTATAGTTACATTAAATGTTTATGATACTATATATAATTATTGGTTAGAAAAATCAAATAATATTAAATATTCATCATATATTTATATATCACTTGGTCAACGTTATTTATATGTATTAAATAATCAAACAATGTTATTACAAATATTTACATTACCATTAACATTAACATCATATAAAGAAAATTATTTAATAAATTTACCAAAAAATCAAACAATATTAAATTATGTTATTGATGAAATATTTGATTTTTTATGGATTTTATTTGAAAATATTCAACCTCAATTATATATATGTCAATTAAAAACTTTTAATTGTTATTTATATATGAATTTAATTAATTTAAATCAACCATTACAATTATATATTAATTGGAAATATCAAAAATTATATATTAATTCAAAAAATTCTTTAATTATATTTGATTATAATCAAAATCATACAGATTATACAATACATAATTTAAATTCTACAGAAGAAAATCAAATTCAATTTTTAACAATATGTGAAAAAACAAATTTTATTGAATATATAACAATTGATTATACTAATAAACAACAAATATGTTTACAAACATGTCAATATTTACCATTAATATTAAATGATACAAATCGTATTCATACAATACAAAGATTTTCAATATTATCGAATATTTTTTATTGTTCACAAAAACGACGAATTGCTAAAATAATTATTTTAATTTTAATTTTAATTGATATTGCAGTTATATTAGCAATTATTATTTGGTTAGCATATAAATATTTTTATCAATCAACATTAAAAGAGAATGAAAGACAAATGAGTAGTGGAACTGTTTGGACAGCTGATAAAGATTCTGTCACACATTTTTAGATTGTAAAAGAAATCATTATTAGATAATTTTACAAGTTGAATAAATTTTAGATCAAAAAAAACAAAAAAAAAAAATTAAAGATTGTTTAGAAATAAAACTCAAATAAATTGACTAAGGTTTATTGAAATAGTTAGTTTATTTTTAATGATCGTTTCTTTTTAGTATTTTATTCGATTTTGTATTATTTTTAGAATGAAAATGAAATTTGAATATTTCTACTTAAAATCAATTATTTCAATTGATCATTATTTGATAAAAGTATACTGTAGAAAAAAAAAACAGCTGTATGAAAGAATTGAACAAAACTTACGAGAGAAATGTCTTAACTGATTAATTATTTTAGAATCTGGGCTGTGTGTATGATGTAGATTCTAATCAGTTACGAATACCCTGAAAACAGTTCGAACTCTTAACTGATTACTGCTGAGATACTGCATTTTTACGGTATTTTCCAAATGAATGTCGTAGTAGCAGAAAAACTCATTTTTGAAATTTTGACTTGACACTTTATATAGAGAAAGATCTTAATGAGAAAAGTTTCAAGTCTTTTGATGTGCTTCTTTCCTGAAATAAGAACAATAAATCTGCCGATGTATATGTGCAGTATAAAAGACAAACTTTTATCATCGTTATATCTTACGATAGGAAAAATGAAATGATCTCAAATGTTTACAATAAATTGTTTTCATTAAGTTTTGTCTCTATGGAAAGTTTTAAGTCGAAATTTGAAAATGAGCTATTTTAGTGTTCCTGAGGGAAAGCACAGCATTGACGTAAAAAAAAATACCCTAAAAATGTAATACCTCAACAGCAATAAGCTAAAGGTCGGAATTCTCCTTAGGGTATTCATAGTTCCTTAGGATTTATATGACCGACATAGTCACGACTGAAAAACAGTTTATCAATTGTTGAACTTTCCTCTTTTCTATATATATATATATATGTTATCAATAGGATTACTTCCTACTTTACATAATTCATTTTTTTCTCTTTATGTCGAATGGTCAATGTATGTTCTCAAATTATCTAATTTTCCATAGAAAAAATCTAAAATTCCTATGTAAAGAAAACTTTTGATTATAATTTAGAAAATATTTTTATATGATTTCAAGAAGAAATTTATTTTTCATCTAACTATCGCTGTTCGAAAAGTTTCCATCATTAATGAAAGAATATATTCAATACTACATAGAATAACCTTCAATTACCATGTTTAGTCATTTTGTTCTTCGAATTTGATTTCTAAACAATCGCTTACTATAAATAAAATCTTCTTCAACATTATTTCGAAGTACTTATTGCAATATCTCTATTAAAAAATCGCATATTAATATACATTTTA